TATAGAAGAAATTGTACCCTCTGACTATCATTAAGTGATGTACCTTATGATTCTTGATGAATGTATCTTGTGTTTTTATGTATAGAGAGCATATGCACCAAAGACAAATTCCTTGTGTGTCCAATCACACTTGGCCAATAAAGAAGTCTATTTATCTATTAAATGAAATGTATAGCTTAGGTTCCTACTGTGTATAAATTTAGTGAAAAGAATTACCTTTTGACAGGTTACCAATTTCAGCAGCTTTGTAGATTTAGATGGAAGATCAGCTGGCAAGATCCTGCTTCCAAGCGTACTTCCTTTTTCAACTAAATAACTTAAGTCAGGCAGATTTTCAGAATATGTATCCTTTAAAAAAGGCTTCATGCTAGGGTCAGATTTTTGAATAAAATGAACTGCAAACGTTGAACTCAAAGCTGAGGTCTCTTCTGAATGAAGTACTTCCTTAGAAATAAGTTGTTTAGAAAAGTCTTTTGGGAATTCAGTATTTTTATTGTCTTGCCAAATATTGGAAATAGAGGTTTCTTTTTCTTCCTCTTGATTTTTTCCTTCATAAAGTTTGTCTTCTTGTTCATTTTCATTACAACGATTACTAGACTTCAACTTTTCAGATACTGATTGCAAAAGTGATAAGATAGATAAAGATTGGTTTTCTCTTGGTGATCCACTATAGTGATTTCTTGGTGAAATATCAGTAGAAGGCAAGTCCTCTTGGGAACCATCATCTTCATATATAGGAGACAAAGAAAAGGGGTAAATCCTATATCGCTTTGCTTCCACAGTCATGAAAGATTCTGAACAAGTATCACCCAGCATCTCATTCAACTGCTTGCTTTCATCATAAGAAGGAAAGAGGTCCTCTTTGAATCTGGACGTTTCATACATCTTATGAGTGTCATCTAAGGATAAATCAGGATAAGATAAGGTATTCATTATTTCTTCTCCTGAAAATGAATAATTTTCATCTTGAAGACTATCTTCATTCAAAATATTAAAGGAAGAATTGTGTTCCCAATGTTCTGGTGTAGGAAAGGCAAAACAATTTGGGGATTTGTTTTCATTTTCACTGTCAACATCCAGATAATATTCCTTAAGTACATTATCTGCTATTAAACATGGTTCCTTGTTTACTGCTTCTCCAAGGACAAAACCAATGTCTGATGAGTTGTTCAACAGAAATGATTCAGATATACTAAAAAGGGCATTGAACTTAGTATCTTGTTGTATTATATCTTCGTTTCCCATTTTGCTACTGCCCCATTCACTATTTATTTCATAATATTTTTCATGTGGTTCCTTTCCTTCAGCAGTAATAGCTTTGCTTTTTCTTATCTCATTTTTTTGGAAATCATTCTCTACATTATGTCCAGGTGAACATAAATAAGTAAATTCATCTTGATATTTATCAGATAAGCTACCGTCTGCATTAATGTTTGAGTTAAAGGGTAGCACGTTTCTTGTTAAAACTGAGCATGCTGACAATTGCTTATAGGTCATAACAGCTTCTCCTTTTACTAAACTACACTGATTCTCACATGCCCAGCTACTAGTCATATCACCAACAATTGCCCTATTTGTTGCACAATCATCATTTTTATTGTATTTGGCATTATTCATTTTGTCACGACAAGAATTTAGTTTAGTTATGTCATCATACCATTCTTCACAAACTGTTTGGCTTGAACATACATTCTTTGGTATAATTTCTCCAGAAACCTCTTTACTCTCTTCTTTGAAGTTAAAAGGAACCAAGACATTTGTTACATCCTCAACAGTTATCTTCTGCTCTTCAACTGGGGATACTGGACTTAGGCTTAATGGTATTTCAATTATTTCAGGAAGCTTAATTGGTAATTCTGCATCAGTTATAGGTATCTCTAATGCTTCAGTGTAACACATAATATTTGTATTTTGGGAAAAATCCTTACTTAAATGTTCCTCATATGGCACAACTGCTGGATTTTGTTTGGCTGTTTTAATAACATTGTCAGTTATTTCTTTTGGTTTTACTAATACTGAATTGTGTAAATCAGTTTTATCAGTGATATTCAATGGTTCCTTTTCATTCTGAGTATCATTGTCAAATTTAAGTCCAGAGAACTTTGTGATATAATTCACATTACAGGGCTTTAATGAAGAGTTCCTTGACTGTATTTTTTTAGATTCTGACAGCATTTTTCTAATTGTATCATCTTTTTGAAAACTGGGACTTTCATTATACGTAGTGTCATTATTTTGACAGGCTGTTTGTTTTGATCTAATTTCTTCTATTGCTAAATGAAGAACTTCATCTACTATTTCATCAGCCTTTTTAAACAAAAGTGTTAAGTTTTGAGATTTAATTTGCAGTTGCTTTCCTGTTTCAACATTTTTCAATGGTTCCTTAAAAAACTGGTTGTTTGATTTAGGAAATAAAGCAGTAATTGCTTGTTTATCCATTCCAGTAGCAATTTTTGAAGGCGTAGCCACAAGGAAATGAGAATTCTGCCCTGAGGGAGTTGTATGAATTTCTCTGCTCTGCTGGGTATTAAGAGGCATTTCTGATGCTATCTTTGAAGAATCTTTAGTTTCCACATAATAGGTAACTGAGGCCATTAATGGAGGTGAATAAGTAACATCTGATATTGATTCAGAAGATACACTACTTAATTTATCTTTAGATGACAATTTTAAAGTATATTTTTCAGAATTTATAGGAAGAGAATTGATTTTGTCCAAAACAGCCTCTATTGTTTCACAGGCAGGAGAATGAAGGTCTGAGGTATCTTTAAAAGAACTTGTAGGAATAGCAGATTTAGATGCATGTACATTGTCAGATGTAAAATCAGGAAAGGTCTCTCTTATGGGAATGGATTCAGAATCCATTGAAGAAGAACTAGTCAAATATTTTGTTTCATTTGAATGTGGCAAAATCTTTTTTCCAGTGTTATCTCTGTCATTAGTATCAGGGATAATATGGGATTTAAAGTTATTTCCAAATTCCGGAAACAAATGTGACTTTAAGACAGCTTTAGAATTTTCAGACACAGAATCAGAGTAGCATATTTCACTAACGTCTGTCTCTGCAGAATTTATTGCAGTGGTGACTCTTGCAGACGGCAACACATGTTCCTGTTCATCAGGCAAAAAACATGAATCCTTCAAAAAATTCTGATCTTTGGAATGAGATGCAGATTTAGCCATAGTATCCAAATGAATGTTATCTTCAAAGATATTAGCATTATGGATCAAAGCAGGTAAGAGAGAACAAGAATTATCTGGTGGTGAGTTAATTTTTTCAGGTTTCACAGGTAGAGAACTATGGGCCAAGCACTCATTTTCAGAAGAAATAATAGACAGACAAGAGAGTTCTTTATTTTCAGGAGGCCTGACATGATTTCTTATGCTTCTGAGCATTGAATTGCTTTTCTCAGAAATAATTGGAGTTTTAATTGCATCATTTTTTATAGTTTTAAGAGATGACGTATCTATGTCCTTTACATGCCTTGTGTTTTCCAGTTCAAAGAGCTTATTTTGTTTCTCAAGAGGAGATGAACAAATATTTAAGCTGGTTAACGGTTGGATCAGAGTTTTATTCTCATCTCTCTTGGCAGGATGACAGTCATTTTCAGCTTCAAGATTTTGAGGGACATTATCTGCATCTGTTTTGAAGGAGTCGACATGCGTATATTCAGTATTTAACAAAGAAATGTTGGCCTTATTTTCCTCTGTACCATTAGAGAAAACTGCGCCAAGTTCCACAACAGGTATTCCAACATTCCCCTCAATTACTTTGCTAGCCCCAATATTAGCCATTATGGAGATCCTAGAATTATTTTGTAGATCTCTAAGTAATAATGGCTCAGTGGTTTTTTTATTCCCTAGGTCACTCTTGCTGCATAAGTGCAAGGCAGACCCATTTTCTGTGGAAAGGGCTGACATTTCTGATTTGAAAACTAATGGCAATTCTTCTGTATCTGCTGGTTTATGGAGAAGCAATTGAGAATGATTTTCAGTCGTCATATCTGTATTTAAATCTTTATTACTGTTTGTTCCATTATTTACTTGATCACCACAGTTATAGTTATTCATGTACAATGATGGATTAACTGATTCTAATCTGAACTGATCCTCAGTCCAAGAATATTTATCTTCTAACAATTGATGATCATTATTAGTTGACTCTACTTTGAGGTAAGATGAAAACTCATTTTGTATTGCCTCTTTTGTTTCTGTGTTAGAAAAAACAGATAATTGTGTTTCTTTTTTAGAACAAACAGTAGTAGCATTGTTTGACTGTGGCTGCATGTGTATTTCTTTTAATGCTTTTCTCTTTTCATCTAATCTACTGTTTTCTGAATTGATTCTTGCAGAATCTATATTTTCGTAGCTAAAACTGACCTGATTTGGCAGCAATGCTGGTGGCTCTAACAAAAGTTTCCTATTAATTTCTGTTTTGTCTGAAAGTGATACACATTTTACAGACTCAAGTTCTTCAATGCAGTTTTTGATGGTTTTAATTTCTCTCAAAGTGGTAATTTTGTTCTTTACTTCATTGTGCTCACAATCACCCTGAACATCTTCCTTCTGATTCATTTTAGATAAAAGCTTGTTTTCTTGTGAATTTTGTTTGTCATCTTTAGTTTCAGATTTTCCATTCTGCAGTAATGAGTCTGGTTCTTTTGTAGTTTCTGAGCTTAAAGTATTTATGATTTCCTCTTTTTTGCTTTCCACAAGACAGTTGCTAATACTGGTTCTGGTTACTGTTTCTTGTTCCAAGTCTGCTTGTTTCTTAAGCAACTCCTTAATTCTTGCAGAACCTCGGTAGGTTGCATAAGTAATTGAATGTGCCGGGAGTTCACTTTCTGTTTTTCTGGAATAAAAACATCGTTAATGGCATATTAACAAATGTTTCTAGCCACATACAATTATAAATATACCTACTACCGGTACTCAAATCGTTAACCTGTGTTATATAGAGAGGGTATGATATTAAAAGTGTAAGTTGTGCAATACATTTAATAGTTATCTATACAATAGTTGCAGAATTACTGAAATTTTCCCCCCCAGATTATTAAGGTCAAATCCCTGATCTAAGGAAGATTCCTCTTGAAATACATGTATTTGTGTATTAGAAATCTTTGCCTTACACTCCACAGGAGAAGTGACAAAATGCTACTTTAAAAGTGGGATTAACTAAGATGATTTTTGGTTGTCTTGAGTGAATGCTGGATATGAGGCAAAAGCAATGTCATGGGAAAATGACTGAAAAATAAGGCACGTTTGTGCAATAGGTATGTGCAGATAAGGAAGAATCTTTGGAAAGGTTTCTCTCCATGGGAATAACTACATCATTATGCTAACATGAATTATAACAGCCAATGCTATTATTAAAATGATGGCAGTTATAGCAAAACATCTGGAAGGTATTACAGTTAGTCCTCTACTTATAAACATAATTGAACCCAAAATTTCCACTGCTAAGCAAGACAGTTGTTAAGTAAGTCATGCTCTTTTTTTACAACCTTTTTGCCACAGTTGTTAGCAAATCATTGCTTGCTGTTAAGTGAATCATGCAGTTGTTAAGCAAATCTGATTTCTCCCATTAACTTTGCTTGCCAGAAGTCAACTGGGAAGGTTGCAAATGGTGATTACATGACCCTGTATCAGTGCAAATGTCATAGACACATGACAGTTACCAAGCATCTACATTTTGATCATGTGGCCAAGATGATGCAACAGTCTTATGTGTGAACAACTGTCATAAGTCACCTTTTTCATTGTCACTATAACTTTGAACAATCACTAAAGAAATGGTTGTTTAGTAGACAAATGGACTACCTGTACAAAGGCTGTTTTACTTTATAAAACTATGTACAAAATCCTCACATGCACCATTTTTAAAAATATGGGAACAGAAAATGCAAAAGCTAAGTATCAGTTACTTGATGTTGTGGTTTAAAACAACAGTTTATTATTAGACTTTAAAATAGTTTGAACATTTCTTTCTTTTGGAGCAGTAAGTAGGATTTGAACAAATATAAACCTACTTTCCGCTCATGTATTTTTGATTAAGTGATTTTATTAAAAAAATATGATGGCTATATTGAAGGCTATGTGCCAATAAACTGTTATTTGCAATTCAGTGAAGCTCGGTGCACACATGCATGGATAACTTTTAGCATGCTTCCTCTGTAACATAATGTTCTATGATTTAAACTGAATATAACTTTGCCTCAATTGAAAAGCATTGTTAAAGCAATGTACCTATAGTATTTGATTTGTAATACAGACATTAGTAAGCATAAATGAGATGTAAGCACATGTTATATAAATGAAATTAAAGAAAGCTATTGACTGTAAAATCAGGTATGTAGGTCACATATTCAGCTACTGTTGGGATGTACAATAAAATGCCTATGTCTCATTAAGAAAGATGTATGAGTCAGGTATTACAACCTATAAAAAGTGATATTCTGTCATGGATTATATATAATTGGTATAATCTCTGCCTTAAATGTATTTTATATAACTACAAGTGAATAGAGACTAAATGAATCTAAAATAAATACAAATTCTCTTGCACTTAACAGCCCGCATAATGCTAATGGAAGCTATAATAATGTTGCCAGGAGAGATTATTCTGATGCCATCCTTATTCTTTTTTGAGGGTGGGGGAGAGAAGCAGCTTATATATTTCAATAGTTCCATCTGGTATTTCAGAGCTCCCGAGATGTTTGATAAACACTTTAATCCTAACAGCTTTCACTGAAATAAAACATCTAACATTTGAGCGGAAAAAAGAAGATAATACTTTATAATATAGTATTGGCATGTTTGCTTTTATGTTTACAGAATTTAGTTCGAAGTCTATAAACCACTTTGTTTTAAGATATATTTTAAAAATTGAAATAGTAAATAGAGAAAATTTAGCTCAAATTAAGCTCTTTATTTCTGTTGTAACTTATAGAATATTTTTATGACAGCTACATCTACCTGTTAACTAACCTTACAAAAATGCATAAAGAACTGTTTGCCATAAAAAAAATTAAAAAATGCCATAATATATTTCTAAGTCATATACTTTATTAAATACTGTTGAAAAATTGTGCCATTACTGCCCAAGACAAGAAGTCATTTCAACACCAGTAGTTCTCAGTTAATGACCATTTGTTCAGCAACTTTTTGAAGTTAAGGCACTGAATGACTGGTACTTATAACTGGTCCTCAGAGTTCCAGCCATCCAAGAATCCCTGCAGTCACATGATTCTGGTACTTGGCAACCAGGTCCTACTTATAATGTTTGGGTTATCCCATAGTCACATGATCATCATTTGTGATCTTCCCTGCTGACTGATGCCTAGCCCAAGAATGATATAGTGTACTTCCCTTCTGGCAGTGGCCATCCTCTTGGCCACATCCTCTCTTGTTTGGCAGTAGTCAACCATAGCCAAATCACCCTTGTGCACACGCTCCCTCACCTGGCAAAAATCACCCATGGTTTAGCATGCTGATGCTGTGTCACAGGAGGCCTTTGTGCTTCTTCCTCCCCTAGAACTACTCCCAGCCTTGTTGCGCCCATGCTACAACAATCACTTACCCACTCACATGTTTACAAACTACCTGGACTTGCAACTTCCTACCGGCTTCCCCACTGAGTTTGCTTATTGGACTCTGGCAGGAAGTTGTGAGAATGTCTTCATTTAATGACCGGTAATCTTTGTTTAATGACACCAATGGCTAGGATTGCCATTGCTAAATGATGTGGGCATGAGATGTCATGCTTATGATCCCATTACTGAGTCACAGAAATTCCAATCCCAATTATTGTCATTAAGTGAGCACTACTTGAAAGCACAAAAGAGACAGATCTGAAAGATATTCAAAACTGGTCATTCAAAACACTGTACTGCATTTTCTAAACTGTAATAAACTGTGAATCTATCTGCATAAAACAAGCCACTCACATTTCTCTACACATTTTTCTTATGCAAAAGGCATACATGAAGAAAACTCCATGGAAAGCTATGCTCATATCCAGGGTCCATGTTTGTGAAACATAAAAGAGTGACCCTGGACATGATCAAATATGTTCCAATCTCTGTAGAGTGATTTTCTACTGAATAACCATTCTGTTTTCATGTTCTCTCATGTTCCTGCTGTTACGAAGATGCTTTTTTGTTTCCTGTAAATGGGAAACTCTGTTTTGCAATAGTAAGTGATGTTGCAGAAGTAGCTGCGTTTGTGTAAACCTACCTATGAAACACAGTTTGCTCTAAAGATTAATATACTGGACTAAGATTGAGAAGATCTGAGTTTTAGCCTTGCCTAAATTTTAGCAGTTGTCCTGGGCCAGTTATTTTTTCTTAGCTCTAAAGTGGCAAGGGCAAATCATTTCCAAAATTGTTCCCTAAAAATGGTTATGAATTTGCTGATGTAGTATGTAAGAGTCAAGACTCACTAAATGCATAAAGAAACAAACATTTGTGTAGGTATTAATTTCCAGCTTCAGGATAAAAAGACCATATTAGTCCAGCATTTTGCTTTTTACAGTGACTAAACCAGATAGTAGTATTTATCTCTGCCGAATTTATGTGATTCGCCTTCACTAAAGCTAGTTCTGCTATATGCTTACTTCATTTTTTTCTTGTATTACTGTTTCTACAATTTGCCTGATAATGTCATTAAAATGAGTGGCATATAATTTTTACAAATTAACCTTCGTTATTAGATTCAACTGATAAAGAATATGTAAAATGTTTATAATCTCTCCTCATTCTTTGTTTTTAATTTTGTAAATTCAAACTTTATATATATAAGACTATATCTTTTGCAGGACTCTCTCACTGATGAATCTTTAAAAAATGGACCATACAGGATGAGAACTATTTTATATACATTATGAATTGTTCAATATGAATAACATTGAAGAAAAATTTTATGATCCTATGAGATCAAATTAAAAATATATTTAGATACTATATTTGAACTCACTTGGCTGTTTCAGCAGATTGATCCTGAGGGTCCTGTAAATGTTGTGGACTAGATTTAATTCTTAAATTACTGTCTTCATCTTTGCTTGATATTTTCTGTTCAGTTCCAAAATTTGAAATGACAAGTATATTTGATTTGAGATGCTCAGTATCTCCTTTGTCTTGATGGCTATCTTGATCTGAAAAGCCTTTTTTAGTTTTGCAATGTCCATCTTCAAAATTAGAAGGTTCTTTTTCTTTGTATGATGATTTAGAAGAAATACCAAATAAACTCCCAAGATATTGCAAAAATCCTTCTTTAGACCGTTTATTGTTATTGTTTGCCTTGCTTTCATGAATCAAACTAGGAAGACTTTTTGCTTTCTTTAATTCCTCTTGAGTGGTAGATCTATTCAAGCCTTCTGTACAGAAATCCGTATTTTTACAGACTGAAACCTACAAGGAAAGAAACAGATTATTTTATCAATTGTTGAAGAGGAACTAGATTTGTATCCTGTCTTTCCTATGAAAGTATAGGAAGCATAAGGTAAGCACATAGTCAGTTCTTTTCATTGTATTGTTCCTATAAGAGAATTAATAAGGGCATGCCAGTTTCTTAAGAGATGAAGATGAGGGTCTTCCCAATCTAAAGCCAGAGCTCTTTCTGCTTAAGCATACTGGCTCTCATTAAGTGTACTGGAATACATTAATGTACAATTTTAATGCCAGTGCTTTATTCAGGGCATACATAATATTATCTAAATCTACAGTACATTGAGCATTGCTAAGTATGCATAACACTGATTCTATAAAGGCAGAAAACTAGCTCTTTTACTAAAAGTTACATGAAAAAGAATCTTCACTATGAGATCTGCATTTTATTTTTTGAAATATATGTTCTTCATATGTAATGGATGTAATAGCATTACATAAAAATAAACAGTTGCAGCATTAGCAGCTATTTTTAGTTAATAAATCTCCCCCTCCCCCAGGAATGATTAAAGTGGCATGTCTGCCAGGCTTCTTCCCCAAGAAAGCCTATTTTTAAAAAGCCAGTATCTTTTTCTCTTTCTTCTTACCTATGGGCAGTATATCTGACTATTGCTTATATAAGATGTGTCTATTTCACTAATTCTTCAGACCATTATTCTTTTATGCAGAATTTTTCCTTAATGTCTCTCACATAGTGTCTTTCTTTTCCCCTTACTCCTAGCAGGGAATTTTGCCTTAGTTACCTGTGGAGAGTTTTTTTAATCTTTATAAAATCCCAAATTTTGGGAACTGATTGGAGATGAAGCCAGAAAACATATGAATCTGTTGATGTTCTGATGGTTTTTATTGTGCTGTATATTAGAAGTCAACATGGGCATATTGTGATTCTGAGAAATTTAAATTCTATAAATAAATAAATAATAATTCAAAAGGCATTTCACTGTCTAAGTAATTATCATTACAAGCATTACATTATATATAAGGTATAGGCAAGATAGAGTACAGAAAAATCTTTTGTTTCACAGATGCCACAATGCTCTACTGAAACATGTACACTGTATAGGCATGTTATATTTTTCTTATCTCATTAAAATATTTAGTTTTGAAAAGCTAGAATTGGAACTGCTGGCATAATATATATTAATTACGTTTATGCTTGAATTGTATCTATTTTCTTGCTTTTAATTTAACATTTCATGCCATTATTGATGGCAATTATTATTTAATTAAAAACTATCTACAACTAAAAGATAACAAAGCCAGAGATCTTCAATTTGTCATAAAATGATCACTGTAATTTTTGATAACGGATCTAATGTCATTATTTACAATTTCTACTCTCACAATCACATATGAATACACACACACATACACACAAAGTATTTCAGGACAACATATTCTGCATATAATGAAACAGACAGCAATACAGGAAAACCCATACAAAAATAAACTGATAGTTTTTACGAAGAATAAGACATAAGTCTGGTTCCTATTATAATAATAAATAGAAAGACCTTTAATAATTCTGGAAGAGGACTGCTTTCTTTTCTTGGAGAAATCACATCCGTAGATTCATCTTCCTTAATTTCAACACTGAAAAAGAGAGAAAGAGATGTAACCTATTTGAAAGTCCAAAAGCATTTTTAAAGAAAGTGCAGAAACCAAACACATTTATTTTGCCTGCTTGCTTTCTGTCATCTTGGCATTTCTTGTGTTTAGACAGCTTTTCTAAACCTGATCAAAGCATTTCCTTTATTGTCATAAACTTTCCAAGTTCATTTTTTAAACTCCAATATTTTTTCCTATTTTTAACACAACTCTTCTGTAGTATATTTTTAAAACTAGTCAGTTAATTTGATTTTTATCTTAAGGTTACCATCTGTTTAATCTAGAATTTTGTCCCTTATCCTTACATAATGGTAGCTATAATTGTAACTGCCTTGCAAAGTTTTTTGCTTATTGATTAGATTTGAATGCTATCTAATATCCAATGATACTGGATGTCTGGTATAGAATAAAATTATGTAATAATAAATTTCCCAATAATTTAATCCTAAATTGGAAGAAATTTATTTTTTGCGTATATAAATCACGTATTTAAATTATATAAAATTTAAATATCTCTTTATTTTAAATTTAAATTTATTTCAAATTTGGTATAATAAATATCATTCCTAAGAGTCTCTTGCTTTTATAGTCATAGAGACAGACACATGAGAAGTTTGTTCTTGCTCAGTTGAAATGATATTAGCTCAACTAATTTCCAATTTAAATGGTTAACAATTTAGAATTTGAATAATTAGTAAAGAATGAGTTGAATTAAAAGACTTAATACAGTAGAAGACTCAGATAACATTTAAGTTCAAACATGGTTAAGTGTTGAATAAGCTAAATTAACAGCATCAACATCAGAGGAAATCAACACAAATTTGTCTACTTCGGAGTAACTTTGTGTTATATTTCTCAATATACAATTTATATTTCAGTAGGTTAGGACCAAAAAGTATTTTTGGAAACTAGACTGTATAAAATATGCAATATCAAATTAAGTGAAAACAAATTATATGCTGGATTTCAGTTAAGCTCCAAGTATTTCATTCAAATTTCCTCCAAAACAAAAACAGTTTTAAAACCAAAATCTTCCATCATAAAAGAAAAATACTAGAGTTATTACTTTTGTTTGTTTATTTAAGATACTTCTATAGCCATCCATTTTAAGAAACACAATTGTAGGTTCCACACAGTAGCAGTACAAAACCAACCCCCCCCCCCGCAATGCAGTCAAACAGTCTTAACCTCACCCTATTCCAATACTTGGATGACAAACTAGTTCTCTATAGCCTACTCAAAGAGAGGAGAGCCTATTAGGTCTCAAGGGGAAGATGTTCTATAGGACAGGGACTGCTAAGGAAAAAGGGTGCTAGGTCCCACAACATTTAGGGGATCTGGAGTGTGTTTATTGATGGAATGGGAATATACTGTCAGGGAAATAATTTCACAAATAACCTGGCCCCATGCTAAGATTATATGGAACAATGGAACAAAACTAGAAGCCCAAGGCCTCTCACACCTCGAAAGTATAATGTTGGCAAACCTAGGGATGCCAAACACTGTGAGAGCCACTGCATTCTGGACCAGTTGTAGTTTCTAGATGATCTTCAAAGGCAGTTCCACATAGACCATATTGTAGTAGCTGTCTACAACAATAGTTGAATGGCTTTTTAAGAAGGAAGACATATATTCCACACAGATAACTTTCATACTACACATGCCACACTTAATACAAACAATAGCAAACATACAAACTTAGCCTGGAGTTTAAAATATGGCCAGAAAAAGAAAAACTATTTTAAATAATATTTATTTTATTAAGGACCGGCAATTATAACCAATTGTAAAAGTAAGGTTCTTCATTTCTAAAATAAATTGATCTTCCATTTGAATGCATGTACACCCAACTCATTCTCTTGCATAAGATTATAAAAACATATTGTTATATATGCTGTGGATAAAGTGTTAAGGGACAACACAACACAAAGTACATTCCAACAGTAAAAACAAGCTTGTAGACATCAGGAGACATAACTATATTAACTTCCATAAAATGCAATGTTTCTTACTCCTAGTAGGAAAATATACTTAGGCTACTACCATAAAGGAGGTGTCCCGGGGAAACTAAGGAAGGAACATGAGGTCCTGGACTGTTTTTATTCCTTTTCCTCTTGTTCTTGTTATTTGAAATGGAGAACCTCCATTGTCCTATTTAGGTGTCACTACAGGAGTAGTGGGGACTAGAAAACGGCTGATCTGTTGGGTCCTCACTTTAGCTGGCTCATCATGGGTCATTTCAGCTTGGTCCTCATTTCAGAGATATTTATTTACCTAAACAGATAAGCAGAATGACCACATGCTAACAAAAAATCAGTGAGAGTAGGAAGAAGAAATTTCTGATTTCCTTCCTGTTTCTCCACTGATTTTACTTGTGGAAAGCTTGCAGGGAGAAAATTAATGGGGAAGCTGGGAGGGAAACTGTCAAGTTGTTCAGCTAAGCCTCTTCCACCCACACTAGTCCCTCTGTGCTCTCACTTCACTGGCCACTCACATACCCTTCCTGACCCTCACCATACCCTCTCTGATTTGTGATATATATCTTGTGCATTTCTGTACCCTTCTCAATGTTCATCTCACCTCTTGCATGCTCCTTTGCTCGCTCCCTCACTCAGTAGCAGTGACTTACGTGTCTGCTGGCCTTGAACTTGTAACTCCTGCCAGCTTCCTCACTGAATTTGGTTGTGGGAAGTTGGCAGGGAATGTCAGCAGTCATGACTGAGTTTAGAATTTCTGCTAATTTCCCCAGACTTGTGGGACACTCTCAGGGAGCACTAGAAATGATTATCATGAGGCTGCAGCTGATCGTGGCAGTGCTGAAATGCCCACATTTCCAAATCTGAACCCTCAGAAGTAACGGGTCCTGGATTTTGGATGCATTCTGTAAGTAATCCCATTTGAAATACCTTGCTGTTGCCCTCTGATGATTTATTCGGCCAATTGAACGTTATAAACAGACACAACAGTTTTAGCATGCAGATAAGCCCTGCATTTCCTATCTCATCTTCAAAGGCCATAATACTTTCAACAGCTATACCTACAGTCATGTACTTTATTAGTTAGCATCTCCAATCCATTTTTTCTTTTCCAACATCTTCTTCTATTCTAAACACATAAACAATTGCTCCAATTTACAGATAATTTTCGGGAGGTCTTCCTATAAGATACTGTTGCAGGTGAAACAATACTCTTTCAAGCCTTTTTGGATAGATGTATATTTGTGAAGATTTGGCACAACATTTTCAAAGGTTTTTCCCCATCATGTAGATAAAATATATTTTGGTTGAATAGTAGCCACTTTTCCCCCTACTTTCAAGTAATAGAATTGGACACTACCTCATAGGCCTTCTAGTCCAATTCCTGCTTAAGCAGAAGACCCGATACCATCCAGGTTAAATGGCTATCCACTCTATTTTTTAAAAAAGTCTCCAGTGATTGAGCACTTACAACCCCAGGAGATACTTTTCAGGATCTCAATTTTATTTTTTGGTATTGGGGCAGCCAGAACTGTACACATATGCACCCCACCCGAATGGTATGATTGTTGTGTTCTCTTTTAACAATGTATTGTTTTATGTTCATAACTTGTTTTGTCCTCCCCTTCCCCTAACTTGTGTGCCGCCCTGAGTCCCCTCAGGGAAAAGGGCGGCATACAAATAAATAAACTATAAACTATAAACTATAAACATATTCCAGTACAGTGTAAAATGGTACAATCACTTCTTGTTGTCTTGATGCTATCCCTCTGTTCATACAGTCTGTATTGGCCTTTTTGGCAGTTGCAACACACTGCTGGTTTATACTTATGTGATTGTCCACTAGGATGCCTAGATCTCTTTCAAATACTGTTGTTGACCTAGGTACCACTTATTCTGTATCTGTGCACTTAAGTTTTCTTGTCTAAGTGTAAGGCCTTACTTTTCTCACAATTGAACTGTATTTTATTGGATAGGGTCAAATGTTCAAGTCTGTCAAGATTCTTCTGGATCTTGAGTCTATCTTCTAAAGTGTTGGGCTACTACCCCCAACTTATCAAATGTAAATTTGATAAGTTCCCCTTCTATCCCTTCATCTAAATATTTATAAAGACATTGAAGAGCATAGGGCCTAAGAAATAGTAAATACCCCACCACATGCTTCCCTCCATGTCAATGTAGTTCCATTAAATTCCATTCCAATACACTGAGTGAGGTTACCGCCAGTTACCAATCTGTCTAGTGGTGATGTGACTATTGCACATTTTTCCATCTTCCCAAAGTGTAGGCTATGGTTTACTTTGTCAAAGTACTTTAGAAGACTACTTATTTTTAGGGAAAAAATAGAAGTAAAAAAAAGAAGGTTGAAAGGCTGCATGCTAAGGTAAGAATAGAGGTTTTAAGCAGTAGAAAAAATTGTGCAACACTTGGTATAATTATACCAAGCTAGTAATTGATGCAAGAAGAAAGATTCAAAAGAATAGGTCTAAAGATAGTGTTTGGAACTTGGGTTCATCTACTGAAACAGAAAAGATGAGCTCAAACAAGATTTTGATGAAAATTTACATAATATAATACTACTGCTGAGGGAAAGATTGCAGAGAAAAAGCAACAGATGAGAGGGAGTACTTAATCTTCTGCCATTTGCTAATTCTTTCTCTAGACATTTTTCCTAATAAACTCCAAAATGGGAAATATATTCAGCCTCAAGACATTGGACGGAAAAGAAGATTACAAACCACTTGATCTTTATTAATACTTTACTTTTAAAAATGTGTATCACTGTTATGGAAATACATAATAGGAGTGCCACCCTGTTCAAACTGGTATGGCAAAAATAGAGAAAATACAGTGTTTATTAGTATACCTATCACACAATTCTCATAAAGTACAGACACCATACTGGCTACATCTAAATAAATAAAACACCTCAAATCATTAGAGATTACCGTATTTTTCAGAGTATAAGATGCTGTGGAGTATAAGACGCAGATTAGTTTTGGGGGAGGA